GAGAGGACCATAGTCAAGTTCCCATATGTCCTCGATGGCACCGTAATACGTGGCAGTTGTTCCATCGTGTCCCATGGCATCGACATGAACAACGCTGTTTTGGTTCGTGCTCTTCATGTCTTGGGCTCTCGTGTAGAATGTGTACTCATTGATCTCATATCCCTGGAATGTCGCGATCGACCCAGACGGTCCCCTTGCCAGGAAGGCAAGTTGTTGGTTGATCGACTCGTTACCCATGAGATGTTGTCGTAGCCACGCGGGGAAAGTATCAATGTGATGCCGTGTAATCCATGCATCGGACTTACCGATGTTCCTAGCGCGAACTAGAGCCAAGTGCTCCTCGATGTAAGGAGCTACCAATGAAGAGTGTTGCAGAACAGTGAAATGGGCTTTACGGAATAAATTGTTGTCTACCATCATTATTGCTTTCCTTCCGAGAGTTCCCTTTCCCCGTAGTCTCCCTTCATGGCGTGATTCAGGTATCCCGATTGGGCGAAGGTCTTCGATAAATTCTACGCAAAATTCGATGACCTCCTCTGTTCCATAACACTTGGCGATGCTTGCCTCTGGACGAGCACGGTTACGAACATACTTCTTCAGAACGCCCATGTACCTCTCGAAAGGAAACATGTTGTGTAGGTACACAGGCCCGAGAATACTGATCTCTTTCACAAGGTGACAAAGCAGATGCGTCATTATATTGAAAAATGAAGGTGGAAATATCAACTCAAAACTGACGAGACATTGCACTACTTCATTCTGAAGGGCTTCTAATCTTTCCGGATCGATGACCTTCTGCGAAATTGCGTTCATGAATGCACATAGCTTTGTTATTGTTGCCCGGACATTGTCTGGAAGGATACCCCTTATTACAACTAGTAGCAGTTGTGTCATCAACACGTGACAGTCATGAGACTTTAGGTTTGTGAACTTCTTCTCCTTCGTGCTTATTATTCGCTTGATATTCATGGAGTATCCAGACGGTACCTTTATGCTCTCCAAGCATTCAAACATACTTTCCTTCTCTGCCTTGCTAAGAGTGTAGCTGGCTGGACTCAAGTAATGGCTTCCTTTCTCCTTTGGTTCCGGGTGAAGGTCGCCGCGTTGTTCCATATGCTTCAGATCATTACGTGCTTCCAGTGTATCTTTCAACTTTCCGTATACACCTAGAAAGCCAAGAAGGTTTACGCAAAGGTTCTTAGTGAAGTGCATCACGTCGATTGCGTGGCGTACGTCCAAGAATTCCCAATATGGTAACTCCCAAAATATAGAGTTCTTTTTCCACATCGCCGCGTGACCATCTTCGCTCTCTATAGGCTAGCTTTCAGGCCCCTTTCCGAACACTACTTTAAGATCTTTAACCATAGCAAACACTGTTTTCCCGCTGCGATGTTTAGGCTTCGTACGGTGGTCGGCCTTATGTTCAAAGTGCTTGCCTTTCTTCCGTACCGAGTGGTTTGCTGCAAGGAATCGACGATGACCCATGTATACAACCTTCCTATAGTGCTTAAGATACGTACTTTCTGTTTCATCCATACAGTGAGTGCAAGCCTTGTACCCCTTGTTGGACTGTCCGGATAGGTTGCTAAGTGCAGGCCAATCGTTGATGGTTACGAACGGTAGCGCTCGTAGGTTAAACTCCTCCTGTTTGTCCTCGTCCCACACGGGGACACCTTCATTCTTCCACAACAGTTTAAGATCTTCGACCAGTGGTCTTAGGTACACATCGATGTCGTTATCAGGTTGCTTGGGGCCTTAAATAATAATCGGCATCATTATGTACTTCCTCTTCTTGCATAGCCAGGGGGGAGGTTGTAGATACATATCGTAACGGGCCAAGTGCTATGGCCGCTGCTCATCTCTCCAAAAGGATTCATGCCATCCGTACTCAAACCAAACCGTATGTTTCGTGCGTCCTTTCCAAATTCTTTAAATTTTCTGTCGATGTTTCGCCACTGCGAACTATCGGCGGGGTGTCTCAGCATCCCGTCCTGTTGACGCTCTTCAGCGTGCCATCGCATCATTCTAGCATTCCCCTTGTTCCTGAACAAACGCCTTACCCGTGGTATTATAGGGAAATACCACATCACCTTAGCAGGAATTCTCTTCTTTGTTAGCTGCCCGTCAACTTCTCCTGGATCGTCTCGTCTAATCTTGTATCGTAGTGCTTTACAAACAGGGCATGCTTCTAGGTTCTCATACTCCTCACCGCGATATAGGATACAATCATTCGGACATGCGTGAATCTTCTGAACTTCCAGTCCTAGCGGGCAGACTATCTTCTTAGCCTCGTACGTTGTCTCGGGCAATTTGTTTCCCTCCGGAAGAATGTTCTTGACGAGTTTCAATAAATTGCCAAATGCCTTGTCACTAACCCCATTTTTTGCCTTCCATTGCAAGAACTCCAGAGTGGTATCCAACTTTTTGTGCCCCTGCTCGCAACCTGGGTACAACGAAGTTCTGTGGTCCTCCAACATCTTGTCCAATTTATGGGCCTCCTTTTCACTTTCGTAGTCCTCCTTGGCGTCCTGCAACATCTGACCAAGATCATCCGCAACGTCGTTACCATCAGCAGCTATTTCCTCCTCGCCCGTTTGATTTCCTTCAAATCCAACGTACTGAGCAAAGTCCGGAATATTGTCGTCTTCCACTTCATCTTCTTCCATTTCAACACCTTGCTCTCCGTGGGATGTCCAACAATTATAGCTTGGCATGAACCCCGACTCAAACAAGTGGAAATGAATAGTCCTGGATGCAGAATACTCCTTCTGATTCTTACACTTATTGCATGGACAACAAATAAAACCCCTTTGCCTGTTAGCTTCGGCCACTCTCAAAAAATAGTGCATGCCGTCAATAAACTCTTTGGACCGCCGGTCAGCGTACATCCATTGCCGATCCATCTACATGAGTCGAAAAAAACCGTACACAAATAATTATTCTTACAATAATGACAGTCATACAATAATGCCATATCTTTATTCATACAAAAATCATAAAATATTACACCAAATAATTCTTATTTACTATTTCTAAAGTTTTAAACTAATTTTAATGTGTTTTACTTCTTTTAATTTTCATTTTAGTTTGTTTTCTATTATTTAAGATTAACTTTCACTAGAGTTTTCCTTCTCAACTATTTTATAAAACCTTCTTTAACAAATCAACTAAATTTCTATATATTCTTTCTTCCCCACACAATTTTTCTCTCTCATCAACTTACAACTAAATTTTGGAGACAAAAAAGTGTGCAAAACATAGCTGCAAATGTAATATGACAAAAAAAACATTGGAGGATGAAGTTGCAAACCTTTTAGGCACCTCCGATTTGTATGTAATCACCAAAATAAATTCACTAGAAATTTTGGCATGACCTCCCCTCTTTTTTGAAGAAAATTTGAAGCTTGCTCGGGCAGCTGGAGGAGGAAGAAGATATATATATAGGGGTGGGACTTTAGTCCCGGTTGGCTAAAGATCCCCGAGATCTGACTAAAGATCCCGGGGGGGGGGGGCCTGACATGCCCTGACAACATTTGAATCTTTAGTCCCGGTTGGTGTTACCCGTTACCCTTTTGAACCGGGACTAAAGATCATCTTTAGTCCCGGTTTTTATTGCATCCGGGACTATTGTGGAATTCGGCCGACCGACGAAAGATGGTTTCTCCACCAGTGCTTTGTAGCATTGTCCATATTCATTTAGATGTTAATGAATCTAGACATATATATGTGTTTATATTCATTAACATCTATATGTATGTGAACAATGATAGAAAGTCTTACATTGTGAAACAGATGAGGTAAGTCATTTTTTATATTTATGTTGATGTTAATGAATTTAGATAAATTTATATGTATGTCTAGATTCATTAACATCAATATGAATATAGAAAATGTTAGAACGACTTATATCGTGAAACGGATGGAGTATTGACCTGTACGTGCAAAACACCGTTGCTATAGTTAACTTGGACAATGCGATAGAGACTAACGTAAACATGACAGAAGGGGAATAGCACGCTACGCTACCTAGCTATGGAGATGAACTCTCCACAGTTTGTAAATTTTTGGATTTTCCAGATCCACGAACGCGGAAAGTAATGAAACCCATATATGTACAGGGCCCGTGTACATTCAATTTTTCAGACTAAGGATTTTCACAGGCGGCCGGTATACATTATTATGCAATACCTCCTGCTACCAAGGTAGTTCAAGAGGGATTGCATATAATTCTATAAGAATCGGAGACACAAGATATGATGGTGTAGCCATGTTGTCATTCACTCCTCTCTGCTCATCTATTTACTCATCTACAAGTAATCGTGCACGTGCAATGCACGTTTCCCACAATACATGAACGTCCTCAAAGTTTAATGCATTGATTTTCCAACAATATGCATATCACACCGCACATACAAAGTACTGAAAGTATAAAAAGAGTAAAGTGCAACTTGTAGGGTTGTGTCATCTAGGTCCCTAAACTCTCAAAATGTAGATCCAGGTCCCATAACTTGTCAAAGTGTATCATCTAGGTCCCAAATCGACATAGCCTCTCTAGGATCCTATGTGGCGATGATGTGTCTTGCTACATGGACGTGATGTGTCCTTTTCTTTATTTTCTTTCTTTTCTTCTTCTTCTTCTTCTTCTTCTTCTTCTTCTTCTTTTTCATTTTCTTTTCCGTTTTCTTCTCATTCTTCTTTATGTCCTTTCTTCTGCTCGGGTCACAGATAAAGGAGAAGGAAAAAAAGAGAAGGAGAAGAAAAGGAAAAAAAAATTAAATGGGTCCCATTTGTTAGTCAAAATAATGCCACGTCATGTCTGCGTGGCATGCCACATCAACGCCACATAAGATCCTAAAGGGGTTGTGGTGATTTAGGACCTAGATGACATACTATAACAATTTATGGGACTTGGATATGCATTTTGAGAGTTTAGGGACCTAGATGACACACCCCTACAAGTTTAAGGATCGCCCGTGCACTTTACTCTATAAAAAATATCTCAAAATAGTACTTCAGTATATAACATTTACCTGATCAACAGCAAGTGCTCAAAATAGTACTTCAGTATATAACATTTACATAATCAACAGCAAGTGCATATCTTCTATCGTGTGACCAGTAGAAGTTTATATGGTATGCAAACCATAGAGGTTTATATCTCAGTTACTCTTAGGACATTGTCTCATAATAGTACTCCAGTCAATTGTTATCGGAATAGTGCTCGACGTCGTTGTCTTAACTGAAGTGCAAAAAAGGAGATGTCATGTGTGAACATGCTGGAAACATCTTAAAAATTGAAATGACAACTATGCATTTCTGGTATGGACTTACGGGGTATCCCATGAGCATGTCCATCATCCTAGCAGTTGGGCACTGGAAGGGATTTCACACTGCACATGTCCATCATCCTAGCAGTTACTGCCAAAAAATACTGCTCAATCTCGGCTTCTAGCTAACTTCCCAGCCATCCGAGGGTGACCCATCGTAATGCTGGTTTAAATTGATTTATGAAATCTGACTTCAACAGAAATACTGTAAAAAAAGCCACATCCTGTTTCTGGAAAAAAAACTGAAGTATGTGTTGGAAGTAATGTGTGGATCAGTTGATTTTGTTGAAGGAATAACAATATTGGAAAAATACGGAGCACAATAAAACTTCAGATAGAAAACATGATAGAGAAAAAGGATCGCATTACATTGGCTGGCAAATGGAAAGGTTTATGGAAGACAGCAATATGTGAGTATAAAGCTACCTGGATCTATACCACAGCTAGGTTAGTAAAGAAAGCCATGGCTGCATACATATAGAAACAAGTAAAAAAGTGGTAGCCATTACTTCATTCCTACATGTAAATGTAAAATATGATGGCAGAAAATAAAACCAATAAACTGCAGAAGTGAAATGAACAGTCCAGTTTAAGAACCTTGGTGTAAGCTTTAAAAAAGGCACATGATTCCCATCAGGGAAGAAATATATTGCCAAATTTGAACTAAAAAGTAAATGAAATCATTAAAGGTGGTCCAGATAGTATTATTTGCACCCAGTAATCCTAGTTATCAGCAGGTGGGCTATTGGAAATGAGTTAAAGAACTGAAATTAAATTAATGGATTAGCATTTGATAACAAGAAACGATGAGAAAGATTGACAGGGATAGTTGACATTCAATAATACAAGAAACTGTTAGATGGACCGATATGCAAATTTAAAACTCTTTTCTAGCTATCTTAATGTGTCTTTTCTTTCTATCTAACTAGGTGAAACCCCGCGCATTGCTGCGGGAATTTAGTATGATAACGATAAAAAAAATAACGTGTAAGATAGCTAGATAATATCAGATTAAGTAAATTAATGTGGTTTATGATAATTTAAATTTAAATAGTATGTAGAATGATGATTCAAACGTAAAAAGTAAGATGGTATGTGACTTTATGGAAGAAGAAAAGTAGAGAGATAGTTTGGACCGTAGATTAATCATCTAAAGGCTTAAAAACAATTGATGTGATATGACTTAATTAGAGAAAAAAAGGAGAAAGATAATTTGGACCATAGATTAATCATTTAAGCACTAACTAAGTGAGGATGAACTATATAAATATATAGGATATCATAAAACATAATAAAGATATACATTGAAACATTATGTGAATTATGTTGGATGATAATTTAATATGTTTGTATTTGAAAAGCTCTTAAATTATAAAAACTATAAAGATATAGCATGTTTGCATGATGTTTAAATGTGATGATTGTTAGTGGAGGATGATGTGGCACGTTTGCATGTTAAACTTAAGGAGTTAGTGGGGGATAACTTTATAGTAAGATAGAATTCCTGGACCTGTTTGTGAAGAAATAAAACCAGTCTTTTATTTTTCTTGTTGTCAACCTGGATGCCCTTGTTTTCCTGTAAAATATTCACTTATTTAATAGAAATGGGAGAGGCTAACCTCTCTAGTTTAAGAAAAAAAATCTAATTCTTTCACATGATTAGAATAGACACAAAAATTAGCTGCAGGGGTAAACAAGAGAAAAATATCCTGTGGTGCATAAAATAGAATAAGTGGTTGAGCCTTCTACGATAAAAGGTTTAGATATATGGTGCTGACAATTAGGAAAAAAAATCCAGATATTGAAACAAACACTTATACAACTTTGGTGATAAATGTACTCTCCAGCTCCACTGTCCGAAACCAGGGATTGACCATTATATTTGTTTGCAAATTTTCCAAATTTGAATCTTTGAAGATTTCTCTGAAATTTCAGGATTCACATGGTCTTCTATTTTTGTCAAAACTATTGCATGTTCTTCTACAAATAAAACTTGATTGAGAGAAGATTTTCTACATGACATATTTGGGAGTTGTTTGACAGTATTAATTAAAAAACATTGGTGCTAAAACAGAACCTTGCAAAATTCTACAAGCAACAATAGGGGCAAAGAGTAAAGACTAAGATTTATGTATAGAAAAACCTCTGAGTTATTCCCTGCACCTCATGAATCATGACGGAACTCCTGATCTATAGAAGCATGCAAAATAACATACAAAAGAAATATGATTAGGTTAACACTAATTAGTTAAACAGTAGCAGGAACTACTTCTAATATAATATGAAGTAATTGTTACTTGCACACATGGCAACACATTGTCCTTGACAGTCAAAGTGTTGGATCATGATCACTGCCTTCATTTGATCTCCAATCAAATTCAATATCCAGATAGTGTTTCCTTCACAACAAGCTGAAGCAATTAATCAAGGTCCCTCGATTAAAAAAAATGTTTGGATTGCGTAAAAATAAAAATTAGCATTCATGTCAAGAGATGCAGAATGATTAACACATTTGTATAAGCATTTTGTAGGCAATTTCCTGATATAGATGCTAATGTTATCCGTAAAGCAAACAATAATGTTGCTAAAATCAAATCATACCAGCACCCAAAATCAATTTGTTAGCAACAAAAAGGATTGATTAATCGATTTACTCCAATGGTTAGATAATTACATTCAGGCACAAATAGCTAAATCTTCATACTACATATGTAATTCTGTGAGTTATATATTATATAAATATATTCACCGTAGGACTCTCATACAGTATTTACCTTAAGAAAACAGAAGATCAATGCTTTGTCCAGTGCAAAGCATCTCTTGCCAATACATTTTTTTTGTGTGTAGCTCCCTTGTCCTCTTCAAGGGTATGGCCAGATTCCAGCTAATTAAAGTACAAAGTTTTATCCTAGGGGAAAGCCAAACAATCATATGAGCAGCTGAAATTATGTTTCAGGAATTATGCAATCTAATATATATGCAGTCTAGATTAATTTAATATATGCTCCTAGGATATCAAAGAGCAGATTGATCAGATCTGTGACATACAAAGCCATAGAGCACATGGAGTGTGACATACCTATCAAACTCTCCAAAGAATGAGGATGGGAATCATGTCACTCCTCTGTGCTCTCCATCCTGCAAAAGTTTCATGAACTGGAACATGATATATTTGATTTCTATCCATGATAAATGGCATCAATCCAAGTAATATCACACTACTTTGGCACAATTTAATTTAACGAATTTTAAAACTATAAGATGGAAGTGTAGCTAGCTAGTGTAGCAGCCATAAAGGCACATTCGCTGTATGATGCAGGAATTCCCTGACTGCCACAATCAGCACAGGTTTGAAAGTTGTTAACGTCACAAGTAGATGCTTGAAATACACCTCGCTAGCCAACCAGACCAGTGGCCCAGGCGCTTCCTTGGAGATGGAGTAGGCAGGGGGCAGCGTCTTGGGTGGCTAAGCAAGCCTGAATTTTCCGCTCTTACGGAGTACACGTATTTTCCTTGAGGACACAAGGGAACCTACAATAGCTTCAGATCTGTACCATAACACAACCAGGGGAGGAGATTAAATGCAAGAACATCGTCAAATCTACAATATTTACCAGTTTGATTTTAACTTTTTCTGCAAATCTACAAACAAATGGTTGGGGTTACAGTACTCGGATTCATCCATACGAATCCAATTCCTAACCGTCAGATTTGCACTATGATCCAATCCCTAACCCTCGGATTTGCACCATACACTACAAATTAAATTCACCAAAATGAAGGGGAGCTTGCAATACTTACATCGATGGGTTGGGATATGGTCGGCAGACTGGACGACAGCGACCTAGTAGGGCACCTTCACTGCACGGGGGAGGATCCACACTCCGTCGCGGCGGGGGCATGCGAGGGGGTGTAGGAAAGCGCAGCGGCTGCCGTAGGGACTCGCGGGGTGTCATCGCGCGAGGGCGCACGCGGGGATAGCGCGGCGGCGGGCATCGGGGCGAGGATAGCGCTAGAGCAGGTGACGGCATTGTGATGGATGGGATCGGATGAATAGGTGATACTCGGATGGACGGTACGGATAAGTAGATATGCAGATGGACGCTAGGGATTGATCCGGGTGATTTGGCAGGTAGGATTGGAGGAGGCTAACTCCTCTTTTTTATATTAGTATAGATTTATAGCCATCTCCCTCTCTCACCTTCCATATTTAGTGATGGTCCATTAGTGTGTAACCTAGGTTGGGCATTCATGGGCTGGCTGGTTTCCTAACACTTCCCCTTGGGCCTTCACTGCGTGATGCCTATGCTTAATCAAAACTCCATAAAAACCCAGTGGGAAAAATTTAGTACATAGCATACGCTTGCAATGTCGCACGAATTGCCTCATTAAAAACCTTGATAAGAAACTGCTGGGAAAACTTATCCAAGGAAAAACCCAATTCTTCGTTCAATTTTTCTAGATTGATTTTTGGGTACTTGATTTTCTATATCAAGATTTGGTAATGAGTTAGTAAAATTCTCCCCCTGAATTTTGCATTTCTCTAAGTCTCATTATTCCGATTTCTCGGACACACCAATACAAGAGAAGATGTAAATAATAATTTAGTGGATAAATTTGCAAGACTTACACATGACTTAGTTCGTTGCTTCTATGCAATTCATATACGTAGAAGAGATTGGGGCTCATGTGCTTAGTGAGTTTGCTTCTCACGTAACTCATTTGCATATGTGCGACATATGTTGCTCAAATTTCATAAATGGTGGGGGGGGGGGTTGTGACAGTTTTTAAATTGCGATTGCTGTCGCGGGTAACCATCTCTAAAAACCATGCCGAGGCACTGAATAGTTCAGCGATGCTTAGTTCGGTTTAGTTCAATTAGCCAGGTATTCGTCTGCTGTTATGACACACTTGTGTTTGGGAGTTCCGTCCTATTTGGCGGTAATCGACTATTCCAAAGCCATGCACTATGAACATTTCTAAGTGCGGTTGAACTGATGTACTAAACTTCCATCTGTCACATGCCTTTAGCTGCAAGCGTTAGCACGATTTGGATTCTGCCTAATATTTCAAATCAAACTCAAATTCAAAATGAACGAGTTTGTTTCTTCAATTCTTTCCTGATTTATTCTATTCTTTCTATGTTGGTTCGGGACCAAGTACTTCTTCATGTAATATTATGCAAGTGTCCGATCTAAGCTCCTAAAATGCATTCATTGATTCTTTCTTCAATGCTTATTGTTGGTATTTTTTAACGATATTACTAGAAATATAATTCCTAGCAATGGCGCAGAAATACTCCTGGCATATTATGGTTACAGAGTTTATCCGCAAGCGCACGGATATACCATTGTAGCATTTCACCCGAGAGTATTCCAAGGGTATCATATTTATTTAATCCCGTCGGAAGATCATAGTAGAGAGAACTGTACTAATAATTTATATATTACTTGTAATAATCATAGTCTAAGCAGGGGTTAAGATAAATTAAAGGGTAGAGTGACACACAAGCAAGGAGCTACTCATTCTCATACTAAAATATCTAAGCTAAGTGGAAAGAAAATAGAAAGAGAATCTATTCCTACACTTCTAATATACATACATACATTCAAGTTAACTGGTATACTAGCTAATACCCTCTATCCGATGCCCTCCTGGTACTTCGAGAAGCCACCCCTGACTGTCGAGTTCCTTACGACAGCCCGTCATGACCATACAACCGGGGCTAAATACGGAGGAATACCCTCCCTAGGGAATTAACTTAGGATTATATACCGGCGTGGAGGAATACCCGTACTGAGTTGACACCATCAGCGGCCCACCTCTCATCTGCAATATATAACCCCAAATAATGATATCCTGTAATCTAGACACCACGCCTAAACTACCAGATACTACTCTAATATCATCGTCATGACTTAGAGTAATTGCATAAGCAAACATTATACCCGCACCAAAGCATCTCCCAGATAAGCTAGCCGTATATTCAGTATAACATGAACATAATGTAAAGTAGGTATTCATATACTCGGAAAGTATTTCAATACCATAAATATATTTAGAAGAGTATTCTAATAAAAGTACAAAGCTTACAAAAGAGAAGAGAAAAGCTACTAGAGCCATACCCGAACTCTTCCGAAGGCTTCCGGACTCCTGATTTCTACTCTATTCCTATTCCACCAGCTAGATACTACTAAACTAAACTTGAGAGAAATGAGAGAGCTATTGCTTGAGGTGTGTGTTGAAGTGAAGAGAGTGAACTCCTTAAATAGGCAGGTAATGACGGTTATAGCGGTTGGAAAGGTCGATAATACCCTCCAACCGCCATAGGGAGTGAATCTCCACCGTTCCCTCAAAACCCTGCATCCATCGGCGCTGGCATAGGTTCGGTTCGGCCTGGCCCAACCAGCCCACATTTTGGCTGGTGGCCTCCTCCGCTGCTTCACTTCGTAGACTTGTGAATTTTAGCCTAATTCATCGTGTCAATTCTGCGTTCTTGGCCCATTCATTCATAAGTCTGATTCTCGACATCGTCCGATTGATTTATCTTCTATGTTGATGTCGATTCTCCTCCACTTTAGTGTCATCCTCTGCAAAAGATTAGTATACCTACTACTAGTGGAATATTATTATTCTAACATATTTATGCATTGCAAGCATTACTAGTTCTCCTCTATTTTGGTAATATTGACGGTCGAAACTGATCGATAACGACCCTCAACAACAAGATGTCGGCGCGGTTACCATTTTTCTCCTTCATTTTTCCTTTCTTTTCTCCCATGAATGGCATGATCGAGCAGCGGCCATGCGCTTCGGCTGTCGTGCATGGGCAAGCTCGTGGGCTCGGCTTGGCCGGCGTTGTGCAGCGGCTATGCAGGGCGCTGCGCGCTTGGTGCGGTGCGCAGCCGGCGCCGTGCATGGTGCAGCCGGTTGCCAGTGGTGGAACTCCGTCAATCGGCGTTCGCCGGCGACTCCAAGTCGGCGATGACGGAATCCATCGAAAACCACAAAAAATGGAACGAGGAGGATGCAAGGAATCCGATTTTGCAATTCAATCTACAACATGCAAAGCGGATTCTAGAGTTTCTTATCCTTCTTCTTCCTCGGTCTCCGGTAGAACGTTGTGCTGATAACGTATTATGCAACCCCTCCTGCTACCGAGGTAGTCCAAGAGAGATTGTATAATTCTATAAGAATTGGAGACACAAGATATGAGGGTGTGGCCATGTTCTCATTTATCCTTTCATTGCTCAAGTGTACAATTCTCCTCTCTACTCATCTATTTATAGCCATCTCCCTCTCTCACCTTCCATATTTAGTGATGGCCCATTAGTGTGTAACCTGGGCTAGGCCTTCATGGGCCGGTCGGTTTCCTAACATACATTTACATATATGGCCCTAGATGTCGCTCACACCCCAATCAAAATTAATTATCACGACATATACAATACACAATGCTCACATAGATGCGAAAGAAGAAGCATTCATCTTAAATCTTAAGAGCTCTTGTCTCCAATAATATACGCTTGCTTAAATATGTAAACATATGTGCAAAACTGTTTTGCACTGGCTTGATATCACCTTTATGAGCAAATGCCCATGCAGAATGCCAATGTGGCAGTCGCTACTACTTTTTTATAGATGAGTCCCCCTCCAGTCTTCAGGTGGTCTGTACCACCATTCGCCTACGATAATGTCAGCTTAGAGAAGGTCAATGCCTGCCTACAAACATGCATTATCGCAGGTGGGCCGTTAAGAAGGCTGGCTCCGATAATGTACGGTATATTGCAGGCGGGCCTCTTAACTGCATTATCGTAGGCAAGCTGTTAAGAGGCCCGTTTGTGATGATCGACCTATGTACTGTACTTTTGCTTGAGCTCCTTCTATTCCAACCCGAAGTTTTCTCTCTCCAAAGCATAACTACAATTGGAGGGAGATTTTGAACTTGCAAATTTTGCTTGAGATTGGTAAACAAGGAAAGATACATGTTTTCCTCCATCGCTGCTATTTTTCTTTTTAAATTTCGTCAGTGTGATACAGAGAATTTTGCAGTATTAAAAGAGGACTCTAATGATCGTATTTATGCAATTTTTAGCAACAATACAACAATTAGATGAATAAAATTGTTATTGTAAGCCCTAGTGAACTAGCCACTTAGTCGCGCTTTGCATAACCTACCTTTATAAGTAGGCCATTGATCTCATGACATTGAAGGGACGTTTCCCAAAGTACATTATTTTCTCCGTTCTCAAATATACTCCATTCGTTTTTATATATAGGCATTTATAGTTTATTTAGTAAAGATTTACATTAGAGAGAAATGATCACTTTTAGGCACTTACTGTTAAATTTTGAAAAGCTTCAGTTGGATCTTTGTAAATACTTGATTGGCTAAAATTGCTTGGATTTCCATGCGTTGAAATTAATGTCATAGAAATGCTCATAACTGTGTAGAAATTTGAGTCCTAGAAATACTTATTTTGGGAATGAGGAAGTAGCTAGCGGTGTAAAATTAAATGGATGAAAGTTGTAATTGATTGAC